TAGTTTCTACACTATATACGCATCAGCACGTGTCGATTATTTTCTTGAGGAGGACTGATTCATGAATTGGATACATTGGGATGAACAGAGATTGATTTTCCAAATTTCAATGTATTAATTACAGATGGTCCAACACTTGCAGCCTTAGCTGTGTCGGACAGTGCACTTATAACGTTCGTCATGGTTTGAATTGTAAGGATGATATTTTCCTTGAAAAAATAACAAAATTAAAGATTATCTTTTTGTCATTTTTAATGTGTATTCTGTGCCCGTGGATGGTGGTTCAGGTAGCTGAAGTGACAAATTGTAGGGGGCTAATAGGTTGAGCAAATTGAATATAAAAGGAGAGAAAGAGATAATGACAACAAATATGTTTGAAGACCGACAAATACGACCATGGAAGCAAAAAGACAAAAAGAAACTTCTCATCATGGGTAGGGGTCATGAAAATTTGATCATTAGAAGTAGACAACAGGACGAGCAACGTGCATTGCCTTTTGGTATGTATTAAGGATTGCAAATTTTGCCTCTCTAAATGCAGCATAGCTTAGGGTGAGCTTAAATCAATGCAGAAGTTTAATTTTAGACACATACTCGCTAATAAGTTAATGCTAGAACATATTTCCTACGATAGGAGGCTGGACGCACACATTTTCTATCGTTAATTAGAGAAAAAATGGGCCAGATTAACATCCATGGGGTGGTGGCGCAGTTGGCTAGCGCGTAGGTCTCATAGCTTCTGAGTTATCCTGAGGTCGAGAGTTCGAGCCTCTCTCACCCCATTCTTTTTCATTTTTTTAACTAGGCCCAACATCACGGCCTTTTTTTTTAAACGGATAATGGCCCAAAGGGCCTAAAGGCCATAAACTCATTTTTTTTCTTAATTAAAAAAAAATAATAATAAAAAGAAGAAGAAGAATTAGACGTTTGTGGGGGCCACCACACATCAGAAGATTTAACGGTCGAGATAAGCTTATAATATACAATTGACAGGCTGTTTGTAACGGTCACTTGCTTTTCCCTCTTCCCCAAACCGCGACTAAATAAATAAAATAAAATCCCTAGACCGAGACCACCGCCCCCCATTTCTTGACCGTTTTGTCCCTACCGCCATCGTCCTTTCTCAAATCCGACGCTCCTTTGCAAAAACCATGAAGACCCATTAACGGACACCCGACATCTTCTTCTCAACAAGGATTCCCACCGAAGAAAGCAACAGTCTTTCTCGATTCCGAGAAGAAGAAAACGATCGGTAGCTCTTGCTTTACAATGGGTTGTTTTCTTGCCTGTTTTGGTTCATCCAAAGATCGCAGGCGGCGAAAGAAGAAGCACAAGGTTCAAGCTCAACCTCGTGTCCAAGTAAGTTATCACGCTCTTGATCTTCTTCGAGCTTGTTTATGGTTTGTTCGAAGTTTTCTTTTATTCCGTTTGGTTGCTGAGAAATTGAACAGAAAGAAACTACTTGTGTGATTTGTTTGATTTGGGTTTGGTTTTTAAGTTCTCTATTAAGTGAATCTTATTTGGTTTAGAATTTTGGGTTTTGTTCAGTAATCAGTACAGTCGTTAAGTTTGTTTAAATTTTGGGAAATTTATCAGATAAATTCAGGTTACAAGAATGTGCAGTCTTCAGTTCCTTTAGTACAGGACTACCCGGCAAAGCCCAGCAGGCCCGTTGAAGTAGTCAGGTGAGTAATCGAACTTCTGGGGTTTCTGATTTTCTCTGCATTTTATTTCCTATTTCTTCAGTTTTGGTTCCATTCCTGTTATAGAGTGGGATTGTTTTTGAAATAAACTAAGTGTTCTGTATAGGGGTAAGCCTGAGGAGGAGGAGGAGGAGGAGGAGGAGGAGCAGCAGCAGCAGCAACAGCAGAGCCCGAATGCAAGAAAGAAAGTAACCTTTGACACCAATGTCAAGACCTATGAGCATGTTTTGCTTGATGAAGTTACTGACTTTCCAAAGCAGAAAGAAGAAGACAAGAAGAAAGAGAAGGCGGAGATTTTAACGAAGTCAAGCCAGTCTGAATGTTCTTCTGAGCATAGCTCAATCACGTCTAGCTCGAGTTCTTACCCTCCCAATCATAGGTATCAGAATTGCCGAGAAAGTGATGATGAAGGAGATGAATTAGTTACTGAAGAAAGTGATCTGGATGATGAAGATGATGATGATGGTGATGGGGCACTAGATGATGATTTTGATGAGGATCTTGACGATGAGATTTTGGGATCAAGGGTTCGGATATGTGAGGCTCAACAAGTCAAAGAGGAGGTTGATGGTTCTGTCGGGGAAGTTGTGCAGCCAATTGGTTCAAATCCAGGTGCTCGAGATAGGAGTGCTTACATTCATGCTGTGTTAAATCCAGTTGAAAATCTGACTCAATGGAAAGCTGTGAAGGCAAGAGGAGCTGCACAATTGAAGAAGCAAAAGGAGAACTTCAACTCGGATCAAGAACCCAGGATTTCATTTAGCTTGGAGCCAGGTTTCAAAGAGCTGTCTTTCAGTTACAAATCAAAATCCAATGATGAACCCAGGAAGTTGAACCAAGAAGTGACAGTTGATGCTAGTCTTTCAAGTTGGTTGTCTTCAACAGAAACTACACCACTAAAGAGCAGCAGTATCACTGGTAGTACACCTGAGAAAAGCATGTCACAAGGTTCAAATTCCATGATAAGCCCAGAAGACAGGCCTATTTTAGGTGCCCTAACACTGGAAGAAATCAAGCAGTTTTCTGCTTCTTCTTCACCAAGGAAATCCCCTACTAAGAGCCCAGATGAGATGCCCATCATAGGGACTGTTGGGACCTACTGGACTCACAATGTCACCATTAAGAACTCTGACTCAGCTACTTCTTTCAAGGGGATACCAAACACTACCAGCAAATACAGAGAGGTATTTGTCAAATGATACCTAAAGGATTTTTAGCCATGAGATGATTCCAGGTTCTGATTGCGTTTCCACTGTGTGCATGCAGGATAAGACAGTGAATTGGCATTCTACACCATTTGAGGCAAGGTTGGAGAGAGCCATGAATAGAGGTGCTCCTGAAGCTTTCTCAACCCGTAATTAGTGTGAAGGCAAGCTCATTTCATTTGTTGGTTTGGAGTGTTGCTTTTGAGTGCTCAAAACTTCTGCTTGTTTCTATGCGATATTTATGTGCTTCTTGTAAGTTTTGCTGTACTTATTTGTTGACCATTAATAGAAAATACAACTTGTTTATTTACTTCTCATATAAGATTTACGTGGATCATTAAACAAGAACAGAGAGAAAAAATTAGACCATAGCTGTTTGCAAATTTCAACATTGACAGTCACAATGCTAATCACCTGTGAAGAGCAGCCACTCTGGTACTACTTATCAGCTACTCGGGTACTACTTATTTTGCACGAACTTCTCTAAATTCTGGTTTCCTCAACAACCTTGACCCTGCAAGCAACTGTATTTCTATTGTTGGAAGTTTGGAACAGTTTTTGAAATCAACCTCTGAATTCTATAACTGGTCTATGTTCTTGGACATGGATTTGTTGACTCATCTAAGCTTGCAAATCATGACCTCAAGTTAGAATTTCCTCCTTTGAGTACTGACAGCTGGAATCCGAGTCAATCTCACTTGTATTTATCAAGTAACTTTTGAACACAGCATGACCACAACCTATAGAAAAAGTTATTCATTCTAACACCCCTTTTGGGCAGAATAGAGATAACATTTGATTTAGAAGTCTACGTTCCTTGCATTAAGAAGCCAATTTTGAGAAAATCCTCAACGAAAAGCATGGACAAGTTTTTCAAGAGTTCTGCACTTTCTTCCCTGCTTCTTGCTTTCCTAGCTTTATCAACCACTTCTTCAAGGATACTCTTAGCTGAAGCTAGGGTTGCCCACTTCTTTGCTATGCAAGGTGCAAAACCTGAATTTGAAATGAAATGTTTAATTCATTTGGTCTGTGTTCCTTGAAGAAATGCTTTTTCTTTAGGCCATGAAGACATGTTTAATTTCACAATATTTCTTACTGAGTTTTGTCTCTGATCAGTGGCAGAATGCCAGAAACTCTAGTCTCTCATCACCGAGGTATCGTGCTTTGCCGTAGTTTGAAGCTGGATCCTTGTCTTATTAGAAGTCCAGCTTTTGCTACACCTATTCATAATGGTCATTTTTTTTTTGGCTGAATAATGAAAATCAAACATGACCTCCCTTCTAATGAAGGTCATGTTGGCCATCCTTAAAAATGAAGTTTTATTCAATACTTGTGAACGTGTAACTGAAGGCCCTGATACTTATGTTATTTAAAAAAGAAAAAAAAAAGAGAAAATTAAGGGTTAATCTACTTTTGGAACTTGGAGTCTGCTCAGGAGAGCACTTTAATCAATTATATTTTCAGGTAAAAATCATTGATAGGCCAATTCCCTATTTTTTCTAATTATATGGTGGTAATTAATACTGTGGGCTTGGACAACAAAATTTCTCCTACATCTAGAAAAGATTCCACATCTTTAACAACCTTGGCCTTCAACTGGATTTCCATTGTTGAAACAGTGTCTGAAATCAACCTCTTAGATGTAAACATCGGTCAGTGGAACTACTTAGGCTCCTGACTGTTCTAAAGTTCTAGGACATTGCTTCATTGATTCACCTCAGCTCGCAAATTATGACATCAAGTTAGAATTCCTTCCTTTGGTTACCAACAGCTGCAACACAGCTTAATTCCTCAATTAACTTTTCGATCACTCTATATCCCACTTCCTAGGTTGTGTGTGAAATTGTTGTGCAGTGCTGTGTTGCGGCTTTCGTTGTCATTTTACTGTGCTGTCACTAATGGCATAATTTTCCAAAACTTTCCCCGACGGAACACCGGGGCACCCATATACAAAAAAGTGATTCATTCTAACACCTTTATATCTTGATCTCAAGAAGCAGATACTTAGAAAATCCTCTCAACGAAAAGGATGGAGAGGTTTTCCAAGAGTGCCACGCTTTGTGCCCAGCTTCTGGTTTTCCTAGCTTTATCAAACACTTGTGCGTGGACACTCTCAGCGGAGGCAAGGGTTCCTCATTTAGTCATTTCTCTGCTATCAAAGGTGAATTTGAAATGAAAATTATTGTTTCATTGAATCTAACATGAAAAAATGCTAAATTTCAAAATGTTCTTATACTTTTATGTGTTTTGGCGACAATCAATCGCAGAAGCTCTAATCCCTTATCACCAAAGTATTGTGCACCGTCGCAGTCTAAACTCTAAAGCCGACTCCTCCTCCTCGTCCTCCAACTGGAGGTACAAGCCAACATAATGATGATTGGGGTCATCGTTGATGAACACCATGGTTGATCTGGTTTAGGAACTTGAAGTCTGCTATTGAGACAATTAATTATACAATCTGATTTTCTTCTCCTCTTTCTCATCCTTTTCCCCCCACAAATCTAATGACAGAATAATGTTTCTATTTATATGTATCACGAATAATGTTTTTGCAGTAAATTCATGACACAGTTTTTGTTTTTCTAAACTTTTCTCCATCTAATTTAAGTTATAAATTTATAACTTCTCAAATAAAAGTTTAAAATTTTAAATCACTGAAATAACTTTTAACCATAACCTATTCTTTTTATGGTCAATATGTTCTAGTATTCATTTTAGGAGCAAAAAATTTACTCTAATTTATGGTAATTAATGTTGTAATTATATCTTACAGAACTCTGCTTGGTCATGAAATAGTGTTCATTTTTTTTTTTTCTATTTTATGAGGACATTTAGTAAAATGGAATAACTTTTTTAGTGTCTACTAGAACTTAAAGACTCCGGCTATGGCCACATAGAGATTTGTTGGAGCCATACAGCCATACAAAAATTTTACTATACCTTGTCAAATTATCATTTTATCCACTCAATTTAAAAGGCAAAAATCGCTTTTATGGGATAAATTGGTATTTTAACAAGGTAAAAGAAAAAATTTGTGTGGCCCTAACACTAATCTTAGTGTGGCCATAACTTGGGCCGGAGGATTAAATTCTTTGATAATGATCCCAAAATTTTGAAGTTAGTAACCATTAAGTGAAAATGTGCACCTGATTCTTATTTGGCTCGAAAATGTGCGATCAACCCCTTAAATAATGAAAATATGCTATTGACTCGCGGTTTGAAAAATGTGCTATATATATATATATTTCTTGATAAGCCAAGAAAATTTATTAAGGGTATAAAATGTTTTCTAACCCAATTCAATATAGGATTAAATTAAGAATTGCACTATAAATGACAACTACAGACTTAGAAAAACAGCAAAAAAGACTGAATTGACTTGCGGTTTGGAAAATGTGCCCTTAACTTCTCCAGAAGATGAATAGCATTTTTCCTAATTTGAAGGATTAAGTGTTCATTTTCAAACCAAATGATTATCAAGAGTACAATGCTGAACGGTCCTTTTTTTTTTTATTTTTTAGATTGCATAATAAAATATAATTTTTTTTCATCTTTTACCATATCTCACCCCACTTATTGTCATTTAACTCAAATTTAAAATTTTTTATTTTCAATAAAAAAAATTATTATCAAATTATTTAAATTATTAACTCACTCATTTTTATTTTATTCATCTAATCACTACATTATTAAAAAAATTTATATATTAAAAATTTCTCCATTATATTAGAAACCTCTGCAAACTCTTTCTTATATCTTATCCCTTTCGTATAATATACAATTCAAAGATAAGACCTGATCTAATTACCACCGAACCCTTAGGTCGTTGGCCCATCAACGACTCTAACTCAACTTTTTTCCAAGGGGATACCAGCAGCCACAACCAGTAAATGCAGAAAGGTATTTGTGAAATGACACCTCGAAGATTTTGAACCATGCACGAGTTACGTGTTGTAATTCTCTTTCTGCACTTATTTGTTGTTGTGGATTGATCATTAATAAAAAATATAATTTGTGTATTTTATTTCTCACAAAAGATTAGTCTGACCTTGAATTCAAATTTGAAAGGTCGGGTGTGTTTTTGGCTTTAAAGGGAAAACATAATTCATATTTTTTATATAGTGTAGAGATAACTCCATTGTATAAATATACACATTTGATACAAAATTTTTATTGTTAAAACATTTAGGCAAAACTTAATATTAAGCACTTAAATTTTTTTTTTTTGACATAAGCCCAAAAAAAAAAAGTGACGAGTAAGCCTCTTAATATCTTAATTTTAGCAAATTAACCTTTATTTTAATGACAATAACTACATGGTGTCACATGAGTTAAAAGGTTGTCTGTTTTTTCTCTTCTGTGACATTCTGCCGAGCTTGGTAACGTGAGTTTGTGACCCGAGTTGGGATTAAGGTGATGTGAAGGGTTGTCCTTGATGGGGACCGGACTTTGGAAGGGCACCACATTCTTTTTACACCTAAGTGATGATATGACAAACAAATATCATGTTACAATTGTAATTATTGTAGTCAACGTAAAAGTTAATTTATTTTTTTTTGAACATTGAAGAATTGGATTGAGGAAGAAAAGTAAATCTTCAGTTTAAAACATAGAATATGTTATTTTAATCCATGCATAGATCACTATGGGCTAAACGTAAAAGTTAATTTATTAAAATTGGGATGTTTAGAGATTTTCATGCACTTTTTGCAAAGACATAAGTAAATAGAAAGAATTTAGGGGGCTTAACCCTGGGCTTCGATAAGAAAAATTGCAAAAAGTGAAAATTATCTCTTCCATGTGCCTGTCATGGTTGATAACCCTACTCAATTTGTTAATTTGAGTAAAATAAATTTAATTTTT